AATTTGAAGAGTTAATTACTGTACTAATTGTTAATTCCGTCAGAATTCGCTGTTTTGTCCGTTTCAGCGATTTTTTATAATACATGCCGCATGTCGCACACATATTTCGCATGCTTTGGGGTCCCGCGGCTGCTCCTCTCTTCTTCTTTCTCCATAATTCCTTATATCCAATTCCCTTAATTTTTCGAACAACTTAGAATCCCAACTTAACTATCTTTCCATGAACCCTTACACACTTATTGTTTTTGTAAGCGGATTCTCAACCTACATTGATAACAATGTTTTTATAATGTTTAATAACATATAAATTTAAAACTGTAAAGATTCTTAAAATAATTTCACTCATTTTTCAATTTTCAAGATATCAGATGTTCAATACAGTTTTCTACTTTTCAAATTTCAAACTTAATCTTGTCCTTCAGTACAACATATAGCATACTCTGTCTAATGCAAAGATTTGACTTGTCTCCCAAAACCTGCTTGATGAGTTCATTTCATTTTTAACAACGACGTAGTTCAACTATTTTAAACTGTAACGTACTCGTCTTTAATTTTAAAAGTTTAACTAATTTTTATGGTATTTTTCGGAATTAAGAAATATTCTACAACATAATCTGTCAATCCTATAGTTATTTTTTAACATGATGGATGTAACTTCACATTTTTAACGAGTAAGTAATTGTTGTAAACTTTTAATTAGTTTATGTTTGGATTAGTACAATATTGTAAAACAAATATTTCTCAATGTAGAGTCTCTGAAGATGCCTATAAGGCGAAAAATTTTACAGCCAGTTAAAGTACATTGAAACTGTCTTTCATTTTTGACCATTTATTTATAATAATTGGAAAAGTTTGGATCAGGGAATTGTCGCGCACGATTGTGGTGCTCCTACGGTGATTTGAAATGATGACGTTACATATAGTGGTGAGGCTAGACGTGACAACAGCGTGGGTAAACTAAAAAACTCGGGGGGTTTGAAAATTGAGAAAAAACGTTTTGAGTTGCGCGACGGGTTAGATTAAAGCGAGGAAGTTTTGGTGTTGTTTGGCGAATCGAAATAGAACAAATCCACAGGAAAAGAGCCTTCAGGCACGACAAATCAAGTTATAATATTCATTATCACTCGCTTTGTTTCACTGTATTTTGTTTTAACTATCTTTCTCTTACTTTTGTGTCATATTAATATATATTTTATGTTAAATTTAACGAAGATTGTTTTATTAATTGCCTCCCAATTGTGCCGAACCCTAATTAACTGCTGTCCACTTTTAAGGGGATGCTAAAGCAGAGTGCCGATCCACGTTTACGATAATAATTGAATTTCTAGTTTGAAAGGCGGTCATAACACTATCAACGTGATGCTCCATTTAAGTTGCACTATGATTGACCATCTTAAATCCATGCAATTCGTACACAAGCTGAAACAAAATGAAAAACATAATCAATTAATAAGTATTGTAATTCATTAATTTATATGCAGTATCTATTCCATACTTCATAATTATTAGGAAAAATTATTATTGTGAATGCTTCCACATGGTGCATAGTAGTAGAAAATTATAATTTAAAAAAAAAACTTTTTACTGGTTCCATTATTAATGTTAATTTAAATCAAACTTGTGTGTGTTGGAAGACGAAGATAATATCTTCTTGGAACTGTTAAACGTAAATAGTCAAAATGAGATTAAGTTACCCCTGTATCACAAAAAAGAAACAGAACAGAAACAGGTGAGCAGATAACCATGCAAGAGTTTGGAGTAATGTTTTAAAGGCGATAAAAAGACATATTTTCATTATTTTTTTTGGAGATATGAACAATGTTGGTTTATTTATTCCATATAGACGTTTGTAGCAAGAGAAGAACAAAGAGGGAAGAAGTTTTAGATTTATCGATCGGTTTCGTGCGAGTAATGCAACATCTGTCTTTACGACTTAGCGTCGCCGAAGCCCGGTTCTACTCTAAAACGCTATAGGACGGTTGCAAGAGTGAAGTTTAGTTTAGTTTATTCTTAATCTTTGACGAACTCGTTTCGTGTGANAACTGCAGATAGGGATAGTCCGCTGGATTTTAAAATAGCTAGCAAAAGTTCGTGATTTACAGTATCGAACGCCCTAGAGAAATCCAGCAATACAAGCGCCGTTCCCAATTTATCATTTATAGCTTCATGAACATCATCAATGACCTTTAGCAACGCTATTGTACAGCTATACCCCTCCCGAAAACCCGATTGATATTCAGGGATTATATCACTTTCTCCAACACCTTTAATAACACAGTAGGTCGGTAAATCAGTAGGGTTAGATTTCTTTTTTAAAGGGATTACCTGAGCAATTTTCCACGAGGAGGGAAAAACAGAATGATTTAAACTACAATTAATAATATGTGTGACATAGGGTAGCAAAAAGGGAAGACATAATGAAATCATGAGCTTATTTTGCCCGTCGTGACCAGCCGAGTTGCTCTTTATTGATTCGAAAATTGTGAGAATCTCATACTCAGTAACTTGATGAAAAACTAACTTGTTTATGGTTGCCTTAGGGTTATTTAAATAATAATTAATTAAATTGCCATTATCATGGACAAATTTTCGTACAGAGTTAACGAAAAAATCATTAATTATATTAATGTTATTAAAATGCTCTGGAAGCAGATTATCCTTTTTATTTTGGGCGGACGTCAACTTGTTCAATTCTTTCCATAGGATCTTGGTGTTCTTATTACTGTACAAGGCATTTATATAAGTTCTTTAGGCTTCTCGACATTCTCGCGTAACCAGATTTCTTAGCGTGCAGTACTGCTTTTTGTTTTCTGAACTTTTGTGCTTAGAAAAAATTTTAAAAGCAACTTTGCGTTGTTCAATTAGAAATTTTATATGGTCGTTAAACCAGGATGTAGGGGGTTTAGTAATCCATTTAGTTTTCACAGGGATATATAGTTCAAATAAGCATGCGAGGTTTTCATTAAGAAACTGCACTTTATCATCGATATTACTGCAATGATAAATATTTCGCCAAGGGATAGCCCTTAAAGCACCCTCAAAATCCGAGTAATTACAATTTTTAAAGTCACGGTAAGTTTTCATGAAAGGTTTTATTTTTTTTCTTTGAAATTTACATTTACAATAAATAGTCTCGTGGTCGGCAAATTTAAACTGCAAAGTGCCGGCCTCAGCTATTCCCAGGTTCTCACTTTTCAAAATGAGATCAATAATTGCATTACCCCGCGTACCATCGGTTATAATTTGTTCAAGACTTAAGTTATTGCAGAGGTTGACAAGTTCTCGAGTAGGATTTTCCTCCAATGTGTTGCAGTCTATATTAAAGTCACCCAATATAAGAATATTATCGGTTTGAGTTAAATTATCGAGAATTAAGCTCTGCAATTCATCTAGAAACTCTTGATAAAGCGATCTATGAAGATTATAGACACCACCCACTGCAAGCTTAGATCCTCCCACATGAATAAGGATCCACAGATTTTCGATGTAGGTATTGGTATACTGTAAATCAGATCCGCTCGAATGTAAATGCCTATTGCTTTAAACGGAAGCAGATTGCTTGAAATTAAAGCAAACATTGGTCTATATATATCCAAAACAGTAATTTCTCACTGTAACAATTTAATTATCTTGAACCGTTATGTTTTTTTAAAGATTTATTTATTTAAGTGAAGATGTTGTAATATCAAACTGAGAACCAAAAGTCTTTTATGAAAAGTAGAGTTTTATACGTTAAAAATATCAAATGCTTATAATAACAATGTGAAAGTAAATCTTAAAAATCTTATGATTACAAGTTCAGATCGTTAGTATAAAAATACAATTTATTTGAATTGATTATGGAAATGTTTGAAATAAAAAAGTAACTTTATTCCATATTGTTAATTAAAAAAATTCTTACTCTTACTTTAAGATATGTATATACTTACCATAAATACTTGAATATTTGAAAGGAGCGCTTATTTTTTTGTTTTAAGAAAATAAATGATTAAAATAACAAATAATACAGGGGGTTGTTTCAAAATCGCATAAATGGTACCAGCGATTGTACACCTAAGAATAAAACTATTGAACAAAACAGGCCTTGA